AAAAAAAATATATATATATATATATATTTATGTGGATGTTCGCCCGTATTATAGCAGTAATATCGGCGGCGGAGGGGGGAAGTCCTTCGCAGTAGATATATCCCGTACGACTCAGCTCGGGCTCGCATTCTACGCAAGGTACATGGAAAATTTACCAGTCGATCTGAAAAGCGAGAGAAGCGCAGATGAGGATCAGCCATTGCGATTGGAAAAAAAAAATCCAAGGATCCGCTCCATGAAGGGACTGAGAAGCAATAGCAGACTTGACAACCAGCTCTCAGAATCGCCATCAGCAGCTTATCGTGCACCCAAGATCCGCAGATACCGACAGCCGAAGTCAACAAACCCCTGGATCGTGTTCCCCGACAAAGTTGCGATAAGCTTACACTTGCCTCGGCGATCTCGCTCGGCTCCGCGAGGGCAGAGTATCTGATTATATGCGTATGTAAAGCAGAGCCAGCCAACGGCTTGGTTCCACGTTCCTCTCGTCTCTGAATGTGTTTTTTCTTCTGCTCAATTAGGTTTTTTTTTAAGATGCGTTTGCTGATCCGAGTGTTGCCCAGTGTAGCGTCTCGTCTCCAGCAACAAGCGCAGGCCAGTTCCAGGTCGTCTCCGACCAACTCGTTAAACTCCTCCCTCCAACGACCTCCTTCCTATACGCAAACGTCGTTGCGAACGGCACGGCTGGAGCAGGGAAGCTGGCGCGGGAGTTCAAGGCGGACAAGAACGCGTATGGAACGTTTGCGTGGAGTGGAGATGCGCTGTAGGGGAGTGTGGCGGGACTGACGAGGCCGGATTTGAATGCGTGGTTGGCTTGCGGGGGAGGTACTTCGTGGTTTGTAGGTTGATCTAGGGAGTTATGCGTACATGACGCCTGTAAGGTGTGCGGACCGGACGGTTCGTCTCGAAAGTTGGCGACGTATTCTGCATTCATGGAGTACTTACTGATTTGCCGGTGTAGATCCATCACTACAATGACAAGACTGCTAGCTCATGAGCATGCAAGCCTGGATGGAAGGAGACCTTAGAAATGGAAAAGCAGATAACGGCAGTCGGAAAATGTTTGTAAGAAAGGATACTAAGAGTGGGTTGAGATCTCTTTATGTCGCCCGGAGTGTAAATACTACATCCAAGCCGTGTATCCCTGGGTATCCTATTCCCGAGACGCCATGTTTCCATGCAGATGCCCCTTCAACTCCGATGACTATACAACTGAACGTCTCTTTCTCGATGATCTTACTTTGTCTTTCGCCTCGTCAATCTTTTTGATTCTCCATTCGCACTCATCCGCAAAATCGCAGCTCCTGCACTTGAATGCCTCCTCTTCAACAACACCTTCGGCCTGCCTCTGACCCTTCCACCATTCCATTTCGTGGTCAATGAATGTGGTCAGATGCTCATCGTTCATAGCCACGGTCTTTACTCCTATAATCTCTCCATCGTCTCGTGATCTGTACTCTGCTTTCAATATACGACCGAGAGAATCTACGCCATCTGGCAGCGTCAATTGAAACTCTGTGATCATCAGCGACCAGAGAAGATTGAGTGTGTTGTGAGCTAGCAGTATGCTCATCGAGTCCTGAGTCGCGCTCGTCCCAGACCCTGAACTCGATGTCGGTTCTGTTGGCGCGTCAAAAAACTCGTCGTTCAGACTTCCGACTTGAGCAATAAAGGCATCAGAGAGAACCTTGGTAGGGTCGAGATTGTAGCGTGCAGCCAACACAGAGAAGTCGACCGTATTTGTGGCTAGAGAGGCAAGCAACCGATAATACAGCATCAATTGAATCTTTGTAGGGAGGAACGCCGAAGCCGTGGGAACGCTGCGCGCTCCTCGAGTTTTGACATCGCACAAATAGACTTTCTTGGTCCGAGTGCGACGTTTTGTTTGACTGGCTTCTTTCAAAGTTGCACCGCCCGTAACTTTGAAGAAATCTGCAATCGTAGTTTGATCGGAGACTGTTTTGGGAGAAGGAGATCTTAGAGACTCTTCGAGATCGGCATCCGGGCAAATGTATGACAGTTCGTCAATGACTCCATTGACAACCAGCCCGTCCACCGTACCCCAGATTTCCAGCTCCCTGGTTTGTCCGGTTGCTCGTAGGGTCCGCAGCCCTTGTATTACGTTCCATATCCTAAGGCCCCAAGCATCTTCCTTCGTCTGTACATCCACCTTGACCGTGGTATGAACTTGATCCTCCAGCACCTTATGGACTCGAGTTCCCGCTTTCATCGCGGGTGTGCGCCGTTTTCTCCCATGCTTGGTCAGAGTGTACCAATATTGCAATTCGCACCACGCAGGCGAGACCAGATCCGTAACAGAAAGCGTCTTCTTCGGCTGCGTTCGAAATCGTTCTATCGGCGACCTGAGATCCGGGCGTGCTGGGTCTTCCTTTTCCTTCGGAGGCTCCTCAGCAATGCCGTTGCCAAACCCAAGCGCATTCTCTGCAGCAAGATCCCTCGCTAGACGCTGCCCATCAGTTAGAACTCACTCAATATACACAACGGCGCACTTACGACGCGGGTGCTCGCCACCCTTAACAGACAGGGCGATCTGTTCTGCAGCTTGCTCTGCGGACCTGGCCGCCTGGAGCAGAGGAGACCGCTGTTCTCGGCCAAACACGCGAGGCAGCTTGAGAGTCTGCCGCGCATCGTAGTGTTCGGTTTCGTTCGTTATCGGGCTGTCGTCCTCGATGGTGTTGCCTGCCAGGAGGCGTTCGACTATTTGCTCTTCTTCGGGCGAAAAGTCATAACCATAATCATCGATATCGCTCTCGCTGACATGCTCTGTTACTGTGGGGCCAGTACTAGCCATGCCGACGTAGTCATCAAGCCAGTCTCTGCAATCACGGAAAGTCTAGGGGGAGGTAGTACTGACGTAGACGATCCTCGGGAACGCCAGAACGACGCGATGCACGTGATATGAGCGGTAATTACCTGAAGATCCTAATTTCTATTTAGCTATAAATATTCATCTCTTATTGCGACAACAACGTAAGTCAAGCAACCACGCCGCCAAAGCAGCGATGATCGACGGTCATAGGTACACCGACGCGAATATTGCCGAACTCGACTACCGGCTCTATGTTTTTGAGCAAAGCTGGGATGGAGGAGGGCGCCGTTCATGAAAACCGCCAACCGAAATGCAATGGCAACAGTGATCCAACTGAACATTGCCTCCAGCTCGAGGGCATAGTGGATGCAGAGTCTCGCGTGATGGAAGTGTCTCGGTCCGAGGCATCAGAACCGTTCCCTTCCGCAGGCGTACCGAACTCTGATTCCGCTGCATTGGGTACCTCATTACGCGAGAACCTCAAGTTTTCGCTCCTGCGGCTGACTGCTGAACTCGACATCTTTTGCCGGCAGCTGGGACGAAGGGCCTTCAAGTCTTTCTCCTCACCGCAAATGGCCTGGCCTTTGAAAGTACCACGTACCGCGAACCGGTCTTGCCCTGCTCATCGTTCTTTGCATCTTGAGAGAACCTTCCATCGCCCTGCACCAGGTCGAGTATAGCATCGAGAAGCCCGTGCGGAATTTGGAAGGCTCTATTTTCTGAGGCGTATACGGTGCTGCTGTTAGACAACAACAAGAAAGGAGCCGATATGGGTCTCTGGTATGACTACGAAGTGGAACACAAACTTCTCTTCAGCGCATTGGAGTACATGATCGAATTCGCATCTCAATTACTCAATTGGGCGTTGAAGCTTTCGGCGAGCAATTTTCTATCATTACTACACTGTATTTGATTTCAAGATCCTCGGTTGCTTCATTGTCTGTGTCCCAGTGGCGCGTTTCTAATGGGCACGAGGAAGGGTTGTTTTTGGAGACTGTTCAGTGTTTCCCTTGGACCACCAATGCCCTCTTCTCATTTCCATCCGACTCTTTACACTAGTGTATTTCGGACGCAGACTTCGAATTCCTTGATTACCTACCACAAGCTACCGAATGAGCAGCTTGTTCGTTTCAGAACACGAGCTGAGCTCTCTTCGAAGACCAAGCCCGAGCCGAGCCGCTACTTCCTGATAACAGTAGAAGCCAGCCTCCCAATGAAGCACCGGCGACAACACAGGAAGAGCGAGGCGGACGCCAGCGGTCGCGGGGCGTGTGGTCCTCGGCACGAGGGCGTGTTCGTTGTGCGAGCCGGACGCGGAGGCGGGGAAGGGCTGCTTGCTGGCCGTTCGGAGAAGGGTGCGCGCGAATGCCAGCCGGGATGTCTCGTGGCCTTGGGCTTGGGCTATTTATTCTATTTGGGATGTATATATGTGTGTGTGTGTGTGTTCGCTGCAGATAGGCTCGAGGGAGAGATTTCCAACGTAAGATGCATCCATCCGTCCATCTGTCCATCTCATCTCAAAAGACAACCCTTGGCCCTTTCCATCTTCCATCTCCAAGTCCAACTCTCCATTTTCCCAGTGCCGAGCTCGCTTGAGATAGCTCACCAGCTCACCAGCTCACCAGCTCGCGACAGCTGCTGCTGCCATCCATCTTTCTAGAACTCCCTTCCCTCACCGCCTCCCCCTGCACATACACATACACATAAATATGTACAAGAAAAGGAAAAGAAGGGAAAGAAAAAAGGACTTCAATGCAAACATGTTTTCATTTGCTGGGCAAGATCTATCTACTCCCCAAGTTCCGCTCCCCCCCCCCTTCCCCCCCCATTTCCATTCCCTTCCCCTCCACAGCTCACCTACTTCCCCGGCAGCAAAATCTCATCCTCGCTCTGCCAGCACAAACTCGAGAGAGCATTTCGTGAAACGCTCACGGAGCTATCCAGCCAGCATAGCAAGCAATCGATCCTCCCCCTTCATACACATATCCTCATCTGCACACCAGTGCACCACCCCTCCATAATGCACACCAGTGTACGAAAACCCCCCTTCCCCCGTGCCAAACCAGGCCCCAAAACCAGCAATTAGAAAACCTGAAAGTCTCCCGATCCAGCTGAGCCATCATCCAACCACCCCTTCCCGTGCCGCTCTTTCTCAAAGTAACACGCCAGCCTCGCACCACATCTCTCAAAGAACGCAAGGTAGACATTCCCAAGGGCGAAATGCCATCATTTATGGTACAAGACATACATACATACACATTAGCAATTCCATTCATTCTTCGGCCACTTGGCGAACGATCTGTGCGAGTACTTTTGAAGAAAGAAAGGCCAAGTTCTCTCAAAGTCTGACGGAAAAAAACAGGGTGTGCTTCAAGATATGAAGGGAGTAACAGCATGTCTTCCAGCCGTAGCCAGCGAGAGCATGTGCCAGAATTCGAGCCAGAAGCCAGGTCAAAGGAAAATATCTGTCGGTCGTGTCCATCGTTTTGTCGGTCGATCGCACCCCGTCCTCCCAGTGCGCCGTGTATCAACCAACATTACCGCTCAAGCAAGCAAATTAGACCTTTCCCAATGAATTAGATTCACAAGGCTTGGCCTGGAACGGGTTTTCGGATGGGGGTGGTGGGGCGGTCGGATTCGGGCATCGTCGCGGGCTTCATTGGACTTGAGCCAGGTGAGAGGCGCGCAGCTGGTCCCTGGGCGGCGGAGTTGGCATGGGAACGTTGCTGAGGTGACGAGCGCATCGAGCCTGCTGGGCTGGAAGGGTGCTGCTGCATCGAGCCGGCGGGGGAAGCTGGGTAGAACTGTTGGCCGTTGGGAGTCATAGGTCGACCTTGGTGCATGGATCCAGCTGGCGACTCAGGTCCGTATTGCTGGCCGTTGGGTGTGTTGGGACGGATTTGGAGGGGTGCCATTCTCGGTCCCTTGAACCCATTGGGAGCAAAGCCGCGCATTCCTGGAGGGGGACTGTATTGACCATTCTGCATGGGAGGCTGCTGAAGACGGGGCTTGACAGGACGGGTAGACAGGCAAGTGCGTGGTACGACTCCCTGCTTGGATCGATCCAGTCGGATACACAAAGCCCATCCATCATCGTACTCGTGGAGGACACGGATCAGTTGGCCCTGCTTCAGCTCCAGCTCGTCACCCATGCTAGGATTGAAGTCGAGTTGAACGCGGTGCACAGCCGAGTTGGCGGGACCTATGAGGTTAGCGGATATGAGGGGGGGGTTTGTGGGACAGGAAGACTTACCACCGGCAGCAGCAATGGCAGCGCCTCCGTTGGTCTGGAATGTAGTACTAGGGGAAGCAGACGAGGTGCTGAACTCGGTACCGGCTGGGGAAGGTGGACCCGTCATGGGGCCCGGCTTGGTGAAATCCATCGGAGCGCCACCATGCTCCCGCTTCGACGCACTCCGCTGGAGTCCCCCGGAAGGAGGCATGGGCATCGCAGCGATAGTCATCGTATCAAGCTCAGCTGGGCCGTCGGCGTTGGTGGAATCGATCGTCTCCGCGTGAGGGCCGAATGGGTTCTGGACGGGCGCAACCTCCGCGTGGTTTCCAAATGGGTTCTCCGGCATGGACGTGGTGGACTTGGGCGTGGCAGGTCTCGACTCGGGGACCGGGGTAAGGCAGTGGGTAGGGTACGGCAGGTGGCTGGCGGCCTGCTGGTCTCCCAGGTTGGGCTCGAACTGAGTGATGGGGCGCAGCGAGAGACGAGGCGCATTGGCAGCTGCGTGCACGCTGACGGAGGATTGGGCGATGTTTCCAGCAGCGGGTGCGACGTACTTCTCATCCTCACCGGCCTCGGCCTCCTGGGCTGCGTCTCTCTTCTTCTTGTAGCAGAGCAAGAGGATGGCCAGGATAGCTCCGACGAGGAGGAGGAGACCGACGGCCAGTCCCACCTTTCCGGCTGTGCTCAAGGCATCGGGGCTGCTGCCAGAGGTCGACGGGTCAGCAGCGCCCGCATTGGTAGAGCTGGGATCTGCGCTGGGCGTCGGGCTGCCCGTCGCGGCGAGGAGCGAGGTGCCGACGGACATGGAGACTGGGACCGAGATGGCGGAGGGGAGCCTTGTCTCGGTCGCGAGGGTGTTCTGTGGTCGGGAGGCGGTCTTGCGGGCAGGCGTCGATATGGCCGGCGTAGGGTCCTCCAGGTCGTCGGGCTGCGGGGCATTGGTATTGATGGCGAGGCCCAGAGTCGAATATCCTGCGATCGCACCGGTGAAGGTGGGCTTCGCCGTCACATAGACGATGGACACGACCTGCTCCTGGGGCTCGGGGGCCCGCGCATGGACACGGTGGAGGTGATTATGGGCCATCGCGATGGTATGTCGGTGGTCTTGTTGGGATTTGTGTCTCGGTTGGGGGATATCGGGGTTTCGAGGCAGAGGCAGTCTCGGTGGTGGAACGGTCAGGTCGTATGGTGTGAGGGTGAGGGTGAGGGTGCGGGTGGGTGCGAGTGTGGATGTGGATATGGATGTGGATGTGATTATCGACCGAGAGAAAGTACAGCAGCGAAGTGAGAGTGAGCGTGAGCGTAATAGTGAGAGTGAGAGTGAGAGTGAGAGTGAGAGTGAGAGTGGGAGTGGGAATGAACAAAGACCGAGATCGAGTCGGTAAAAGAAGGACGACTGATCCTCACGATGCTTCTCTCTTGCACCTGGCGACGGTGAGGTGGGAAGGGAGGGTCGAGGTCGAGGTCGAAGTGAAGGTGAGGGTGAAGATGGAGGTGGAGGTGGAGGTGAAGGTGACGGTCGGGGGTCGGGGGTCGCAGGTGGAAAGTGAGTGAATCAGTGATGCAGGTCCCAGATGCCAAGGTTGACAGGGGAACCGACTAGCCAAAATAGTAGACCGTGAGTGGGGCTGTGATGGGTCGCTCGTGATGGCAGCGGTCGCTGATTGGTTCGGGTCCCACAAGAGCGGAAAAGCTTACGGAGATAAGGACAGGGGGGTGCCAGTGTAGTGTGATAGGCTAGCATCTAATCGAGCATAGCGCAAGGAACCGATCTCAGCCCGTGCTGGCCGACCAATCAAGCAAAGGGGATGTGTCCAAAGGAAATTGAGATTGGCCGTGGCCCGTCCGTCTCGTCTCGTCTCGTCTCGTCTCGTCTCGTCTGGATAACGGGATGGATGGGATAAGATAGGATGGGGGGGAAGGAGGGATAGAGGGGATAGAGGGGGGATGTCGAGATGTCGAGATGGCGGACGGGCGGACGGGCGGAAGGACGGAAGGGCGCAGAAAAGGACAATTCATCAACACCGTGAGCCGGTCGATAGACAGGTAGATATAGGGATGGATAGCCACACCGAATGTTTATAGTTTATAGTTTCTTCTCCTTTTCCTGTGCTCTTCCTACGCTCGCTACGTACTACGTATTCTTCGGAAGGAAGACGAGATTTAGACTTCTGTTGGTTCATCCCATCTCCCCTCTCCCCTCTCCACTCCCAGCCACGTCGCGTCGCTGTCACCACTCGTTCGTTCGTTCATTCGTTTGTTCGCGCGCCCGTTCGCCCGTTCACCCGTTCGCCCTCGCCGTCTCGACGCCGACCTCACCACGCACGGGGACCCGTGAAGCTGGACCTCGAGCATCACCATGCGAACAACCAAACGCCAACACGACCATTCTCGTCTGTCACCCGGCCAGCCAATCACGTATCTAGGCAACTGCCTTCTTTAACCTTTCGAGCTCATGGCATCTCACAGGTTTCCATCAAAGACGATACTACTAGGTACGTATGTTCCTTCGTCTCTTTCTTACTTTATTTTTACCTCACACCGTCGGATCCGATGGGGACCCGTAGCTGTCTTTCTGCGTGCGGAGCTGAATAATAGTATCTATCCTAAGACCTCATCTACTACGTATACTACGTATACTACGTATAATCATAGAGTAAGATGCATGAAGCCACAATTAATATTTGGCCACCCGAGTAGGTCCGGCATGGGATATATATGTACTACTAGTAGGTATTTCTTTTGCAATTAGTCCTCTGGTCGGATATCCAATTCTGTTCTGCCTTATCGGTATTATTAGCTTTGGCGGCCCTGCGAGCGGGCCTGCTAGCGGGCCGGCGCCGGTCCCAGAGGGCGGCCCGTGTTGATGCGTACCTGCATTCCTTCGCTCCTCTACTGTAGAGTCTGTTTCACGAAGTCCTCGGCTCGGGATGGCCGTCTTGACGTCTTTCATCATCCCTCTTCCCGTTCTAATTTTAAGCCGCGTGAAGGCTGAAAATAGTTCATTAAACGCATCTACACGTGACACGTACCTACTTATTGCTACCTTATGCGCTTCGCGACCTGCGAGCGTGCCGACTTCCGAAGCGAAGGAGAGGAAAGGAGAGGAGAGGAGAGGAGAGGAGAGGAGAGGAGAGAGAGACTGGTCGTTGCCCTAGCATGCTCAGCAGGTTAGTTACCTGGTCGACAGGTAGGTCAGTATCGCTAACCTGCTGACGCTACCTCCCTCCTTCAGGAGCCTCAACAGAGCGCCCGACCCGCCGCGTCTTCCCCATCCATCCCCATTCCCATTCCCATCTCCAAAACAAGGATTAATACATCTCGCGACACCTGAAACCCACAAGGCGGTTGAATCGGTCATGATGCAGTGCGTTCACGTTCACGCCAGCGGTCACGCTAGCGAGCAAGCAAGCATCACCAGCACTTCACAGCAAAGCAAGCAGAGACACCCAAGGAGAAATGGGAAACCCCCTTATTTATCTATCCATCTATACATTGGTGCATCTTCACATTGATCCATCTCAATCATTCCGTCCTGTTGATCCATCGACCATCGTTCGTAGAGCCGTTTTCTGCTAACGAGAAACCTCAGACCCTGGCGCACAGATCTTTCCTTCTTTTCTTTGCCCTCGATACCGCCACCTTGTCTCGTTTATTTGCGGCTCTGCTCTTCTCTAATCTTCTCGACTTGACATCATCCCCACGGGAATATACACACACACACACATATTTATATATATATATATATATAATTCTTTCTCCAGGGCGCTAGCTAGGCGCATACCTACACCCAAGCCACCTCTTCAGAAACGTATACCCTCCACACTCACGCCTTCGACGGAGTATATAACGTCAAAGTCCATCTCTCCTCTCCAACACAACTCCAGTACCATCAACTGGTGACCTACGCAGGGAATGCGACTGCAACTCTCTCTCCTAGCCAAGTCGGTCTATACCAAGCATTCCTATTTTTTTCTTCTTTTTTTTGTGTGTAAAGAACCGATACCATTTTTAGACCAATTCTGCGAAAGAAAGAGAGACAATTACAGCTTTCTGCGTATGCCGCTGTCGTGGCTTGGTTTTTGTCGATTTTGTTTTGATTTGATTTTTTGGGGGCTGTCGATGGGTGGATCATTGCCATTGCGACCTATCGCAGCGTAGCATCGCCTCAAGGATCTGTTTACGAGTGCTTATTTACTTACTGGCTTGCTTGCTGGGTATACTACCTATACAAGAGTGCGTCCGCAAACAGCTCCAAGTTTCTGAAGATGGAAAATAATATACATATATATATCTCTATGTATGGTGATGGATAGATAGTGTTAACGGGTCAAAGCCTGTCTATCCACCCTCAGAGGCTAATCTGCCCTACCTCTCTATCCTCCATCTCAATATTAATAACAATGGATGAATCATACTTGCATATTATCAATGAATAAATGATACCTGCTAACAACCTCCTCTTCCCCCCTTTTACAAGTCTACTTGTTCGACGGGACCTTCTCTCACAGCAAACAGCACGTTTTCCAACCACGTACATCCAACACCATCACAGCGCAAGCCGCACCCATCCCTCACTCAACATCTCCCTCTCTCCATTCTGTTCCTAGCCCTTGAATTCCGCACAGATCACAGATCACAGATCACAAGTAGGTAGGTCGGTATCAATCAGTACCGGTAACCACCATCCCGAAATTCCTCCCCCCTCCCCCCCCTCCTCCCCCATCCCGCAACATCCTCCCCCAGACTAGATCAACTAACCCAGTACCGTACCGCATCCCTCGCAGCCCGTCTCGAGCGTTTACAAAGAAAGAGGAGATCCCGCTAGCCTGGGCAGAGAGAGAGAGAGGGAGAGGGAGGGAGGGGATGGGATTGATTCGCTTGACATTTATAACTTGCGGCTTGAGGTTGTGGGAGGTGCGAGGTGGGAGGTGGGAGGTGGGAGATGGGATCGATGTCAGGCAAAGGTGCATGTATAATGGTGACGGTGACGGTGACGGTGATGGGTAGGGGCTTTGCTTTGCTTTGCTTTGCTTTGCTTTGACTTGGGAGGTAGATAGGTAGGTAGATAGGTAGATAGGTGCATAAGAGCGCGCGGCTGCTACTTCTACTACTATGTCTTTCGCGTTTTGCTGGAGGAGGTGGGGTGGGGGTGTGGTTTTAGGTTTGTGTTTATGTGTTTGTCTGTCTGTCGATCTACTTATCTATCTGTTCCTTTCTTCTTTTTAGGATTTGGATTTTTGAGGCGCGGGCTGGAGAGATGGGAGGAAGGAAAGAAAGAAAGAAAGAAAGAAAGAAAGGGTGGAACTTGAATAGCGTGAGAAGATGGCTTCGGTGATGGGAATGGGGATGGGGATGGGGATGGAAAGGGAAAGAGAGAGAGAAAGAGAAAGGTATCAAAACCCGTAAGCTCTCCTCCTGCTACTCTACTTACTCGCTACATAGCTCTCTCTCTCCTCCCCCAATCAATCCATCCATCCACCCCTCCCTCCCTCAAACCCAGAAAAGCCCACAACCATTTCCTTTGTGATAAGTACTTACCTACCTACGTACGTACAGTACGTACCCACGTACGTACGTTCTTTCTCTACCAAGTAGGAGAACTGGAAACTGCAAGGAGCTGTTTTTGCGCAGACGGATGGATGGGTGGATGGATGGATGGATGATGATGATGTGTATGTGTGTATGTGTGTATGTGTGTATGTGTGTATGTGTATGTATACCTACCTATACGTATATGTACGCACAACGCGCAGGTGAAATTTACATGCACGTATATATGCACGTATGCACGTATGCACGTACGCACGTACGCACGTAAAAAGAGAGGTATTCCAGACGAGTCAAGCAAATCCAGGGTATCCGGTCCTAGTCTGGAAGAGGAGGAATGTCCTTTTCTCTACCACTCTTTTTTTTCCCCCCTTTTTCCCTTTTTCTTTTTTTCCTTTTTCCTTTTTTTTTTTTTTTTTTTTTTTTTTTTTCGTGCTTGGAAATAGATTAGAAGGGCTGGACTGGGCTGGGCTGGACTGCCGAGGCTAGGGTGCCGAGGCTGGAGTCCTGCTTTGTCCCTCTCGGACGAGGAAGAAGCTCGGAGGAAGCTCGGAGGAAGCAAGCTGATGTGTGTGGAGGGGAAGCAGTGCTGGGTGTAGGGTGTTTCTGATTTCGCGATTTCAATTTCTCTTTTCTTCTATTTTTTCAAAGAAAAAGAAAAAAAAAAAAAAAATTCATACTTCTTTTTCTTCTAGTAGATAAGATAATATATATATTTGTTTATACAAAGGGTGATGTAGGTTGGTCGGGAGCAGGGAGGGATCGATATATTGAATTCGGTGGTGGATGTTGAAGAGTAGTTTTTTTTTTTTTTTCGTTGTGTAAGAGTCGACAAGAATATGGTGCTTTGGTTACTGTTAGTTAGGCTATACGCCGCCTGGTTCAGCTCTGTTTATTTAGTTAGGATTAAAATGCATCCAGCGGTCATTCTTTCGACACAGCGCTGGATATCCGTGTTCTACTTTGCACACACCCACACCCACACACACATATATTAAAATACAACAACACAGAAATCATAACCTGAAATTTTCAATTTTTATTTTTTAAACAACTACCCCTACCCCCCCCCCCCCCCCCCCGAAAACCTCTTGTAACCTCACAAACAAGCTGTACACAAGGACAACGCAAGAAGTCAGAACCTCTCCCCGTCCGCCTCCTTACCAGCAGACCGATCTCCGCGAGACCCCTTTCCCAGTGCTGATATTGACACTGCCAGACCTCGGCGAGACTCGACGTCCCGAGCGGTGTTTCACGCCTGCCGCAACGGCGATGCACGGTGCACCGGGTCACATCGTTAGACACATCGATGTAACCGACCTAGGGTCTCGATTTCGAGCTCGGGTTTGGCATACCTAGGTACCTACTCTCCCGCTGGCCTTTGAATCAGGGCGGGCGGGTGAAGGGGGGATGGATAACAGCAGCGCGGAAGGCGCGTGACGCCTATGCGGGGTGTTTTGGTATGTCGCAGTTGGTGGGTTCGGGTCGACGCAGAGGAGGGGGTAGGTAGCTGATGGACTGAAGGAATCGGTTGACTGCTGGGTACGATACACCGCGGTTATATATCTTTTTTTTTCTTCTTTTTGTTAATACTTTCAATTTGTTGGTAGGTCTGACGCGTGGGCGGAGTATAGTTGGTCGATGGATTGTTTGCTTACTTAAGGTACTTGGCGAACCCGAGGGGGCATGTTAAGCGAAAGGTTCAATGGGACATGAGAAAGCAGGACGTACGTGAGGAAGCTGCCTGGAAATTTAAGCAAACAAGGGACTTTTCCTTCACATCTTTGATAAACATATTAATTTCATCATATTACTAGCAGATTTATGAAGCTAAGAGCACGACTGGAAATTGGCCGCGTTCCGATAATAATCCTTGTTCTCGCCGGCGTAGAGATCGAAGGTTATTTCGTTCAGCTGGTCCACGAGGAGCGGCACGTCAACCGAGTAGATGCCGAAGTCCCCCAGGGTACTGTTGAGGGCCATGGTCGCATTTTTAGTTACGAGAGAGGGGATGATGCTGCCTTGTCGGGGCACTGGCACGGTGTAGACGATTTTCACGTCCTCGGGGGCGAATGTGCCGCGCACCTGTTGTCAAGCGATCAGCGATGAGAAGAGAAACGTGAATAGGGCAGGGGTATTTACAGCAGCTACGATCGTTGCTTTGTACGGGAGATCTGTTCGGAGACAGCTGCGGCTGTTTGAGAGCATGATAGTGGAGGACACGGGGTATCCGACGCCGTTGTTGTCGTAGGTCTCGACGGTGCCGTTGGTCAAGGCTATGGAAACCGTGAAGGAGGAGATGGATGATGAGGCGGGGAGATCAGCGAAAATCTCGTAGTGCTGTGCCTGTCAGTTCATGATTCAGAGTGGAGCTCAAGGCCACCTACCTGGAAATCATCGGTAAGGCCAGTGGCCGACCCGCCTTGAAAGGTTGCTTGTCGGGTGAGGATGGTCCCCGTAGTTCCATCCAACGCAGTGTAGAGAAGTGAGACAGACGTGATGTCCGTCCTGGGACGGGAAGTCGTTTTCACTCGGATGTTCCCAGTAAAGGTGACGTTTCTTCCATCCTCGGATAGCTCGAGGTTTAGCAAGCCTGGCTTGACATCGTATGCCTCTAGAGGCTCCGACAAGACCACCCCAGCCGGTACGGTGTCAATCATTCTCGTCAGAAGTCGGGCACATGTGTCTGCAAATACGGCAGGGTCGGTCAGCGACTGCATCGTAGCATTTCCGTCTAATGAAAACACCCTCGCGTCGGAGTTCAGTGCAGGGTCGGCACCGACAACGAGTGGATTGGTTGTGGTTCCGGCAATGTATTCAGTCGCGATCATGTTGTCGAACCTCGTCGTAGAATCGAAGGTAGAGAAGTTGTTCCCTGCGGTCCCAGCATCGGGAACTATGGTTGGGAACTGGGCCCCATGAACTCCTCCAAGTGTGTGTCCGCAAGCAATTAATGCAATCATTTCTTCGCTGTTGAATCCCTGTCGCGCGAACTTGTCCGTGAGAGAAGTGATGTTTTCTTGCGGTTCCGGAACACCGTACGGTCCAGCTTCTGTGGCGTCGACTCGTCCGGCTCTCATAGTAAGAAGAGGGCCGCCACATTGTCTCACGGCAGCCCAAACCGCAAGAGCAATGAGATCTGATATGGAGGTTTCTGACCCGTAGAATGCACCCAAGAAACCCAATGTGTGGTTGAAAGCAGGGCCGTCATTCTCGAGTCTCTCGGTCTCGAACATAATTGATCCATCGAGGCCCCCGGTCCCAGCGATCACGTCCGCCGTCGACATGTCGTGAAAGCCGTTTCTGATCCATTCTGCGGAGTTGATTCGCCCCAATCCCTCGGGTCCCTCGTGACTGAAACCACAAGTGGGTATGTCGTCCAGGAAGCCCTTTTCGCGTCAACAAAACTCTGCACATGAAATGACAATAGGGTGCTCACCCTTCTCCCATACCCGCTGGCAACAAACATTGTCTGTTCCAGTTCATCAGTTTTGTCAGGCCATGTTGGAAAGGCAAGTGTGGTAGTGGCGACGCAGAGACCAAGGCAGATCGTTCGCGCTGAAGAAAACATGATGAAGAGGTGTTTTGAGATGAGACGGGGACCGTAGATCTCGATTTCTTGAAAAAAAGTTCGGACGATCCGCTGAACTTTGTACTTCTACTTTGTTGCATCTTTACAAACATCAAATGCCAAGTCTGCAAGCATCTGCAAACACGAGATGATGCCCCGGGAGGCCCGGGACTCTTCCATAATCTGTAATCTGACCTTGGCCACGCCTTGTCAGGCAGCTCATATCCAATCAACAAACATCATTCGTCCCAATACTTCAGTCTGACCTCCCCTAGTTCAGCTAGTTTCTTAAACTTATGTCATGCCATCTAGAAGAGACTTTATTGGTTCGGTCGGCATAAAATACGTAGTAGTTGTATTGGACAATTCATCTTTTAGAGTTTGAAAGCATATAAGCATCGTCCCCTAACCCCTTTTCGCTCGAAGGCCGGCAAAAGCAGTTTCTGGGCTCGGCTAGATCTTTGCTCGATGTTCCCCCTTTTTGCCAAACAGGCACATGGTCCCTCCCTGTACAAATAATAACAAATGAACACCTATGCTGGAAACCATTCCACTTCCTCTCTATACCCTAAGTTATTGTCAAGTAACGGAACGAGAAGTGCGAGACTAAGTAGAGCTCCTTCCATCGGACGAAAGCACGCTCGCCAAAGAGGTTGTTATGCGACAAATTAACTTTATCAAGATCCTGGAGAAGGAATTACTCCGTATGACCGAATGAATTGGGCAGACAGAGAAGCCTCCTTTTCGTCTCTTATCCGAGGCTTCTCCGGCTTGTGGAGAAAGCTTGTCCTCCGGGGCTGAGTTGCGACTTGCGAGCATCACTTGGATATTGTCTGCCTCTTGGAAGTCTGACGACGATCAATTCAGGCCGCACGCCTTTACTGCAGCCGAGAAGGATTCATCCGATGTGCACCTTGGCCGAGGATCCTGGGATGTGTTGCTTTTGGGTACCGACAAATATCACGACAAACTGACTACGAGTACGGTATACCGCAAGATGCTACGGTTCTGATAGTCGTGCGGCCAAAAAGTTCGTACCCATGCGTTGATCTTTTAAACTGGGGAAAGGGGTTGGTTGCAACGCTCTGTATGGTTGGCTCCCTGAAGTTTAGGAAATTCGACTCCACTACTATATTTAGGATGATTTTCGGCATGGGTACAGACTTTCTGGCCGCTCGAGTATGATGTAGCCTTCCCTGGGCGCCAAGAATGTATAAAGACTTCTCGTAAATAAGGCAAGTCATAAGCACACACGTGCCGTGCCATACAACCGGGACTCGGAATCCGACATTCAGAACTCATATATGCCTCTAGTGAAATCGAATCTGGACATCCCTGCAGTATGTTTGTTGTCTTGCCATCCTAAGTGATTTGAATTGCTGATAGCCGAGACAGCCGTTCAGGTAAACAACCAGTACTGGTGATGCAGTCTCACAGAATCGTGGCAGGAATCCTAATTGTTGGCCTACAATACCAAAGTGAAATCAAACGGGCGATGACGAATAAAAATCGATGGGCGTAAAGCTTCTACATTGCATGTGCAACTACGTAGTAGATAGGGCATTATAGCAAGAAAGGGGATCCATGTAGAGCCGGTACGTGAGTTTCGCCCCCTCTCCTAACCAACCTCACAAGACTACATATAGAAGGCAATACTGCGGATGATCTGGTTTGAAAAGGATCGCCACGATGGTCATTTCAAGCTTCAAAGTTCTCGGGGTTTTCTTGAAGATGACGACTAAGGTTCGGAAGAAGCGTTGAGATCCGTTGATCTTGAAGTAAAGATTTTACCGCCGCTACTATCTTACCGCCGCTATTACGAACCGCAATTACGAAGTAATATCCGGTTTCAAGATAGTATATCAGATGAGGGCCTCTCGAGCGCCGTAAGTGGCAGAAGTGACATTTTGAGAGAGCTACGGTGCCCTGTATTCCTGCATTATCGAGCTTCCGGCTGAAGCGTCGCTGTGACAGGTAAACGATACACACACAACCACGATGAATAGATTTATCTGAGTAAGTGCTCATCGGTATACATGTGCCTTCGATGTGGCGCTGATTTTCACTTCATAAAAAGCACCACATAGCTTTCGGGGGAAGAATTCTCATTTCCCACTATGTGTTCAAAGCTGTAGGTAATGAAGAAGGTTCTTATCGCTAAGTTTGCCTTTTCTGACCTCATATATATCGCTTGCACTACATTCGTTTTCTGTTTATTCCGTCTTATTTGTTCATGGATATTGGCTTTTACCTTGTCATCCCTATTTAAGAATACTAGGACCGACAGAAACCACGTGCTGGAAGTTACGTTGCAACAAGTGCCTTGAATAAATGAGCACTCTGCCACCATTGTCTACCGTTGGTAAAATCCTTAATAGTAAACAAAGCTAAAGCTCTTTTTTTTCTTTTAGGTTACGCTAGCGCTAGTGCTAATCGAGCAAGAAAAAAATTAGCGACTCTTTCCTAAACGGTCAACCACCAGGTACAAACAAACACGTCGAGCAAGAGCATCGATCTGATGACACAGGCCCAGCTTTATAAATTGTCGATCCTATCCTTACAACCACATTTACCCTCAAACTTAAACCCGAACCCAACTACAACCATGGTGCAACTCTTTTGGACGAGCCCGCTCACGGAGACAGATTTCGTGCAATCGACTTCCAGCCACGAGATCCAAGCCTTCAAGTCCGACAATGAAGATACCGCGACACTGAGGATGTCGTGATCAACGAATTCATCTCACATAATACACGCTCGTTCTCGTTCTCCCCCGCCTCCCCTGCCACCGCCTTCTTGAAGTTCCCCGAGTACCCCTTTGAGCTCCGAGAGATGATCCGAAGCTTGGCGTTGAGATCCGAGGAAGTACTCATACTAGATCCAAGTCAAAGTAGGCCCAATTGACTTCCACCCAGCTACTGGACCCAAGACCCGCGACCTCGTTCCTCGGTACTCGACATAGAAGTCTAGCCTCCTCGCCATGAACAAGCAACAGGAACTTACCAAGGACGACTTCGCCTTTCTAAATAAGAGAATTCAATGGATGATGACGAACTTTACATAGCAAAGTTATTCGTATTCGTTGATGAATCTTTTGCGAGTAACAAAGACTGTAGCTCTTAAATTAGACTCCTGATTATCTTAGCAACTAAAGAGAAGTTTAAGAGCTCTTTTTTAATTCGCAAGAACCTTATTGCGGCAAGTTCTACAAAATGCGAGCGTGTGACACGATTAGTCTTCGCTTCGGAGATTTTCAAGATGGTTTTAAGCGTAGATATTGCTATTTGGGTGGCCACTACGCTAAAAATAGTAACTAGTAAACTGCAACTCCCGGAAATTCTTATAATGGTCAGCACTGACTCTTACTTTCTTTACGAATACCTCGTTGAGCTTAGAACTACGAAAGAGAAGAAATTAATGATTGATATTATAGCTCTTCGGCTATCGTATAAAGCGACGAAAATTAGCTGAAGTTGGATAGATGAACGGAAAATATAATCCAGCTAACGCAATACTGAACAAAGCTTAATCTAAATAAAGCGCTAATAACCTTTATGGATACAAACAAGGTTAGCGTGCTAGCGTGCGCGTAAAAGGATAAGTGGAGAGAGCTTAAAACGAACGCCGGAAGTGGAAGGAACGGGAATATAGAAGAATAACCGAGAAGGTTGGGAATTTGAGAGCGAGAGCTATTATTACTCTTTTACGACTGCTCCTTGCTACTATAGCAATAGCAAAAGAGAAACTACGAGTGTAGGAATGATAGACTTGAAACAATAGAAGGATCGGAGTTAAAAACTCGGTATCGGAGTTAGTAGCGTGTGCAATGGGCCGTGCAGACTTGGCACCACTACTATTACCACTTCCTACTCACCTAGAATAGCTTTTTCTCCTTAGACTTAACAATACCACGAATGCAACACTTGCTATTCGTATCGAGCCTCAACCTGTGCGCGCACCCCTTATGTGATACCAACATATACCAAATCCTCTCTTATGATCTCATTTGCACAAAAGGGAGAAGTCGCCTCTACTTTATTACACGAATATCTGTTAAAGCATCAACGAGAAAGCGGAAGATGGGACTTGTGCGATGGGGCAAAGGTATTGAGACTTGTCACTTAGAGTCATTTATTTATGGGGTTATCCTTCTTTTCGCAGATTCCAGGGAGAAACTTGCCGTCCGACGTGAGAGAGCCGGGAGAATGCCTACCGCGGTACGTACTCCGAGGTTCAGACGCATCTGACGCCCGCCCACGGCAGTACAAGCTAGACGGCTCTCGGAGCCTCTGAGAGGGAAGAAATTTTGCTGTGGGAGGGGCAGTTTTTTTTTCCGTATGTCAGGATTTCCCAGGTTCTCGTTCCGCGAGACGTCTATGCGCAGATAGATCTGTGACTGAAGGTCGGCTTCAACTACTTCAGAATAGATATACTAGGTATGAAATAAGTGCGAATAGCCTAATCCGAAAGAATTAAAGAATTGCAAGTCTAGATTCTGGGAATAGCATATGATTTTGCTGAGACTCGCTCTCCTTCCCAGCCCAGCCCCAGTGCGTGCCCGCTCCTTCCTCTGCGGGAACGCGCTAGCGGCCGCGCCGGAGAGGTAGCTCAATAAATCCCCCACAAAAGCCTCTTACCTACTACATCCACGCATCTTCAATGCCACGCTACCTGCCGCAATGTCTTGCCGTGCGGTGGACAATTCAGTTCTTTTCGGCAGACGAAGGAACACTGCAGCTGGTACGAACCTCGCCGGAGTAACTCGTGCAGCTACTACTCGACTAGTTCGAACGGCAGAGGCAGCGAAACGACGAGCTAGAGAACGAGAAGGAGGAGCTGAAGAAGGGGAAGGAGAAGCAGAATCTGAAGCTGAAGAGGGGCGGAGGCAGACTTACTTGTTTTGGGGAATTTGCCGCCAAAGCTGAGTGTCATGGTATGGGGTAACGCGCTGTGTACGGAGGTGTTCGTACTTCGGCCTGCAGAAAATTACGAGAAGGGGTGCATGGATCTTGAATTTTTCTGCCCCTCTCATAAGGGAGACATTCCATTCGTCTGCAAGGAGGCCGCCACGGAGCTTAAGAAGATCCGCCTTGCCGCCCATCTCGACTGGGAAGATTTCTGGGGTAGTGTCTGGTAACGCACGAGGCGTTCATCAATTCCAAGACCGATATAGCCTGGATCAATTGCTACACGAAATTCTGGGAATGGCTGATGGAAGATTTTCATGGTATTCCATGGCTAGTCGTCTGGCCTTCAATTTCAAGGACTGGATCGAGGATAACGCACGAGAGATTCATTTGCTGAATTCTTCGGACTATGAGAGAGTGGGGGAGATGATTCTCGTGGTCAACTCGCGCGGAATGTTGGCGAAGCACCCTGTGAGCTGTGAGGTTCATCGAGCCTAGAAACGTTCCAAGCCATTATCCTAAACTCGGTTTCGGTAATGATCCGGAGGTTGAGATCGACACGTGGACCGCAAAGACAGAACAGGTCGTCTCGGAAATACAGCGGTGGCTTAATGATTATCATGAGAATAATGAGAAATTCCGGAAGACCCTATTGGAAACTGCGGACACAGCTCTGCGAGGAACTTATGAAGACGAAGTGCTGACAACAAGCAGATGGATGGTCGGAGGACATGATCGAGGATCACGGAGCGCCTCGCAGTTTTCCGATGACCGACGTGCGGTGTCGAAAATAACACTTCGGGAGGCGGTAGAGCTGGAGTGAGAAATGTGTGAGGAATGTACGAGCGCAGTCTATCTAGCTCTTGGAAGGAGTGCCCAATTCCGAGATGTTCTGGGACGATGACCAAGCGGGAGAGGAGTGATGCTTGCGGTTGCTAGCCTAGCTTTGGCCCTGGGAGCGTTCACTGCGACGTACGGGACTATTGCTATTATTTTTAGGAAGAGAAGTCGGGAGAATAATTGTTTACAGGCGACATAAGATGGAAACTGGTTTCTGTTTCTGTTCGAAGTCAATTTCAATCTTCCTAGATTCTACGTCAAACCCACTTTTCGCCACTTGTGGGAAAAGGATGGTTGGGCACCGTGGTCTCTGGCTGTGAAGTGAGTGAGTGGTTATGATGTAGGAATACAGAGACTTGGGTCGAGCATCGAGGACAAAAAATCGGGTTAAGTGTTAAGGGTATTGGGAATGGTATTGAGTAATTAAATAGGCATGTGTTGCAACGACTCGGCATTCCATCTGGACTCAGATTGCCTCCAAATATGACCCAGCGGTCCAGACCAGCGCACATCCAAGCAGCGCCCAAGCTCCCACAGCTCTCTTTCCTAACCAATTATCATCCACTTCAACCTTTGCAGCCTTCATTCTCCGCGTGGTGTGGCTCTTCCCTTGCTCTGGAAGCGTAGCATTCTTCGTCGCCGCATCCTGAGCATCGGCCTTCTCTCTCAACTCAGCAATCTTCTTTCCTAACGCTAGCAAATCCTCCTTCCACTCCCTCTCGTTCCCCCCACCCTCAACCTCTACATTCTGCACGTTGCCAAAGAAGTCCATCACGAGTCTCTCTCTCCCGGCTTGCTCTCCACCTGGGAATAAGTCCCATCGAAATCCTGGATCGCTGTGAATCTTGCTCTCGTCGTAACTATCGAATAGATCCGCGAGTGTCTTCTTGGAGCTAGGCTCCCGCACTTGAGTCTCGAGAAAGTCGAGGTTGTAATAAGTGTAGCGATCAATGACGGCCACGCCGACGTCGTTGTCAGCGTGGTGCGAATAGGAGGACTGGTCAATTTCGGAGGACCCGGTGGCGATGATATTGGGCGAGTAGAATTTGGAGTACATAGTATTTGCCTGGCAGGTGTCGATCATGAAGAGAAGTTCATGGTATCTGGTCTTCCATTAGTATTGCACCATAAAATTCGGGGCACAGGGGAAAAAAAAAGAGTATACCTCTTCTTCTCCCACATCTGCTCAAAGGCATCCGCCAAATCAAACGCACTGATCTCCTCTGCATCCTGGAACTTCAGAAACTCGTTCCCCCCATGGCCCGTCATATATACCAGGATGTTACTCCGATCGTCAGTCAACAGCCTCTTACTCCGCGGCATCTCTTCCCCCACGCGATCTGTCAACAGCCGTATGAAGTTCTCGACCGTGACCTCGTACCCGCGGTAATCGACCTCGATGTTGTCGCCATACAGGTCAACGGCGCGGTCGGCGTTCGAGTAGACGGTACCGGGGAAGGCGTTGCGCGGGTTGCAAGCCATGTCGTCGGGCAGCATGAGAATGATCTGGGAATCGGGGATGCCGAGGCGCTTGACGGTGCGGTAGAGGGAGAGCACGTTAGCGAGGTGGCGGTAGTTGAACCAGAAGCGCGAGGTTGAGACCAGGACGGCCCAGTTGCTGGTGTGTTCTGCTGCGACGGGGGAGGAGGCCAGGAAGGGCGCGAGAAGAAGGGGGAGCTGGAGGAGGCTGTTGAGCTTCATGGTAAGGGGAGGGTATCGATGTTGGAGGGGAAGAGAGAGAAGAGATAGAAAGAGACTGAGAGGGGGAGGCGGAGGCGGAGGCCGAGGGCAGAGAGGATACGCCTCTGGTATATTTATTGATTGAGGATGTTGACGATTGACGTTGTTGACAACTGAGAGAAATTCAAGCCGAGTGAAGTGTAGAGGTCTGTTCCCCTGAAGTTCAGCAGCCACAGCACTGCCATGTGTGGCTGGTGTAGCTAGCTCTTACCTCCGTTCTTACCTCCGTACCCCGTACTTGTATGCCAGGGTCCACAGAACATGTGACAGAGCGGGGCACCCAAATCAGATCAGTCATCCTACAATCCAACCATCGTCATCCACCTTTCCCGCTCCTGGCCTTCCCTTCACTTTCACACACTTTCATACTTACTCTACCGCCTACCGACCCTCCACTTCCTTCTTCTCCTCTTCCATATAGCTCCCCGTCCCAGTCCTAGAATGATATCAAGATGGGTTGGCCTCCAGCTGTAGTTATCGTTGTCCGGTATGTGCCTCCTCTGTGTTGATATGTCTCATGAAGCTAGCTAGCCGGCTGGGTTGGGAGATTTCATTGCAACGCATCATCTGGTCGAGGATGGATTTGTACCCATTCACAACTAACTCCTTGACAGACATGGCGCACGTTTAGATGCTGCAGACAAGCAATGGCATCTCACATCTCCCACACCCTATGATCCCCCTCTCACCTATGGCGGATGGACCCAATCGAGAGTCCTGGGCGCACGGATTGCCAGCATACTCCGGAGCAGAGAGACGGACGATGAAGTCATTTCTTCGGATGTGCCGACCAGGAAGAGGAGGCACAAAGTCGTTATCCACTCGAGCCCGTTCTTGAGATGCGTACAGACGTCCGTCGCGATCAGTGCGGGGCTGGCCCAGAATCCTGGACACACCCACCGTCACCACAAACCTCCGTCTTCGCCATCAGTAAAAGCTACGGCCATGCATTCGTCTCCTAGGATTCGCCCGTCGGTGGTTATCGGATCTCCGTCTCTGGTACCGATTCCAGAACCTGTAGGGTCGAAGCCTAATGGAAGATCAAGCGAGCAGCCGGAAAACATCAAAAAGTCTACGGTGCGTGTGGATGCGTTCCTTGGAGAATGGCTGTCCCCGGATTACTTCGAACATATCACCCCCCCTCCGAGCTCGGTCATGATGGTTGCGGGAGCCAAGGCGGACTTACTGAGGAGGGAAGATTACAGCTCGCTAAGTCATATGAGAGATCCAGCCAAGGCTCCAGTGGGATTTCCAGGTGGTTGGGGAAGTCCTGTTGCAACTACGGGAGAGAAGAAGGAGGATGAAGGTGCCCTGTCAACTCTGCCTTCTCTTGGCCAATCGCTTCCGAGGAGGGACCGGACGAGTAGTCTAAGCAGCGTTGGAAGCAACGTGAGCCGCCAAAGCCATAGAAGTGGTACTAGCCATTCACCGGCTGCCGAGCATGGGATATATCAACCCCCGATTCCATCTTATGCCATCTCTTCAGCAGATCCGATTCCAGCTGGCTATGTCGCCCACTCGAGAGACGCCTGTGTTGATGTCGACTATCAATGGGACAGTATGCGGGAGCCTCAGAACTGGGGAAATGGGGGAGAGTATGGTGAGGAGTGGAGTTCGATGCACAAGAGATTCCGAAAGGGGCTGGATCACTTGGTTAGCTGGTACAGTGAAAGCGATGACCCTGCAAAGCTTTTCACGAAATCGCCCAACCGCCAAACTGTGACCAGCAGCGAGGACAACGTGGAAGATGAAGATACAGATCTGGTGGTCATTCTTGTTACCCATGGTGCTGGATGCAATGCTTTGATTGGAGCGTTGACAAATCAACCAGTGCTACTAGACGTGGGAATGGCTTCTCTTACAATGGCTGTACGCAAACCAACTCCTCCGACCTCGCCTACTACAACTCCTATGCATTCTCGTTCATCATCTAGGACGGTCTTAATTTCTGATAAATACGATGTCAAACTTGTCGCAAACACTGAGCACTTACGAAGCTCGTCAACTACCCCTAGCTCACGCTCCCAATCCGTGGCGGGTCTCCCAATATTCCGAGAATCTATCCGGGAACGTTACGCCAGCCCCAGTTCCCTCGACGGCTCCAGCTCCGTCAGATCCCGCCCTGTGCCCCAATCCAGTAACTTCGGCAGTATTCGCCGCACAGCCAGCATCGCCGGCTCCACCCCACGCAACTACACTACTCCCGTCCGACAAACTTCAATCGGGCTTTGGAGCGCTCCCCGGCCAGAGGAAGACCACGTTGAAGAGGAGCCGGAGGATGATATGATCTTGAACTTTGGTGACAATGCTACGGCAGCGGCTGAGAAGAAGGGAGATGAGCAGAAGGAAGCCGAGGTTCCCATAGAAAATGAGAAAGTACAAGAAGCTGGCCATGAGTACGAGGAGGACGACGTCGCCCCCCTCGGAGGCGGCCTTTGGGGCAGCCCCAGACCGCCTGGACTGGCCGAGAAGATGCGCGAGATTGCGCCGAAGAGACGGTGGACCGTCAATGAGCGTAGTTGAGAGTGGCATTTAATTGCACAGAAGCCGGGAGAAGGTGTTTGGTGTTTATTTCAGATCCATTACTTCCTTGCGAGTCTACAAAAATGATAGCAGAGAGACACGATGCACAAAGTAGCGAAGGAGTCTTGGCGAAATACGGTACTGAGTACCTCACTGCTATTTGATGAATTAAAATCTGGGACGTGGACTGGCGTTAAAAGGCATGGCATGGCATGGCATTCCGGTCCGCAATTGATAGGTCAATTAGTCATCTATTGGCATGAAGGATTGATAGTTTGCTCCATTGCATCTGCTCCTCTCTACCTTCCTGCTTGGCTTTCCGAATCATGGGATATTTTACATCCTTTCTCTGAGACTAAACCTTTCTACATATGCTTCTCATTCCTCTCTTACTCCCTACCACCTTTTAATTTACTTGCCGGGTCTTGGATTGCATACGGAGAAAAATCTTGGTGTTTATTCTCTCAGAGGGTTTTTTTTTTTTCCGGCTACAACCTTCAATGCCTTTAAAGACGTTCGTGTATGTTACAGGATAGAGGTCCTTGAACGGGAATAGGCTATATTACAATGGTGGCTTCTTAGAGCTAGGTGGTCTTTAGTACTGATTGAAGTTTTATATTTTCCTCTCTTTCCAAGCAATTGAGTTTTGAGTTTGAAGACAGCCTCCACACTTTTCGCGCTATGTACACGGAAGAAGAGTTCGTACTTCTCTGTTCTCTTATGGGTGTGAGGAGAGATAAGAGATGTTTGGTCATCTGCCACTGTCTGGGTTTGCGAATGGGGTTTCTTCTCTTGGGGTTTTCCTTGAGTTGTTTCTGTAGGTACGATATTCCTGATACCTGCTGAATGCGGCGCGTGCGCTGCTATCTTTCCGGCAAACTTAAATCCATACCCAATGCGGTCCCAATATGGCATATTGGACGCTGAATACATTGCTCTGGTGGACAGAGAAGAGGAAATGATTCGGTCAATCGTTGAATGCCTATACTTACAGAACTCCAAGGTTGATGAAGTGCCTCCTCAACGCCGGTATGCCGCATACGGTGATTAATAGCAATTCTCAATAGAGTGATGGTGACTGTTTTCTGATTTCTGGTAGCTTGAGGCACTGTAACCAGGGATGACTTGAATCCACGGGCATTTTTCACTTTCGTAGATCGGCCACGTGGACTGCTTGCAGAGTTGCAGATCACCATTGAATCACGATTGAAAGCTATTCAGAAAATTTTCAATTGCTCCGTAGCTGTCTTGCTGTTGCCAGTTCAATGCCCCTGTTGTTCACCCGCATGGAGACTACCCAGCGAGCTTTTTTGAGCTCTCCTCCAGTTACGGCGCCGGAATAACTACTAGCAAGGCATGAACAATTTCGGTAGAAGGCCAAGAACAGTTGACGCGTGCGTCATCGGAGGTTGGTGAATGTAAATTTGTCAATCGAATTATATGATTTCATAGCGCTGGTAGTCGACCACCGTGAATGATTGGCCCTCTTGTATCTATGTAAACCTCATCTAACACCACCCTTCTACTTGATCTTAATAACATCCATACTTTCAATGCTACCTCAGAAACATCGAGCCCCGATACAGTTCTTTACCCTTGACCACATACATTCGACCACCATCAACATGCAAGCAAGAGGAAGCCAGAACATGAAGCTGGAGAAGGAGGAGGCGGAGGCCGAGTTTCGGCCTCCTCCTCATGGTCGCGCTGCTGATATAGTATGTGATCTCCTATTCCGTGCCATGGTGCTGAATGTCTCTGAGTACAGTGCTAACGACCACTGTAGGGCGCCGCCCCTATGCCGCGCCGGAGGGCACAAATTTTGGCAGATCAGATCGAGGAGTCAGACAGTGACGTATTGGAGATCACAGGCACCAGGGTATGACTTGGTATC